TTAATAACCAGACACAGCAGCAGTATGAATAAAACTGGCATAACTCAGATATCCTTGTCCCTGGAGAAAATCTCAAAGGATCTACAGATAAGTGACAATTAATATGTGACTTTAGTAAAGTTGCTGGTTTATAAAAGTTTGCTTACAGAAAGGATTCTGGGAAGATGGCAGGGTAGGAAGCCCCAAAATCAGTCTTACCACCTAGCCAACAATTGCCCTGGCAGAATCTGTCCGATGTTACTATCTGGGGACTCCATAGTCTACTGAAGGCTTTCAGCATGCAGGCAAAGGCTTGGACAGTAAGTTGCATGTAACTTTAGTCATTTTCAGGTCTTAGCACAGCAGATGCCCGTCCTCCACCCTCAGCCCTGTCGGTGCCAGCTGTGCGCACCCTCCATACAGCCTGCAGGGTCAGGGTGGGCCCAAAGGACCCTGTCTACCCAACATTGGAGACGTGTGCTCCAGCTACTCTTGTGATTACAGGGGTCCAAAGAGGGAGGCAACCTTTGATGTTGCCCCTCCCCCATTATTGCAATCCGCCCCCCTCCAGCCAAAGTGACTTCCAGGGGATATAATAGGCCAGTGCCCTTCCCAGTTTCATTTTTCTTTTTCCTCTGTTGGGAGCCGGATATTGGAGACTAGGGCACTCAAAAACAATTACATATACAGTGACAGCCAGAAGATGACTGCACATGCCCAGGACAGATGCAGGCTCAGAAAAGAGCTGAGAAGACCTTAAGTTTACACTTTATGCTGATCCTTGACATAAAGACAACCCTCAAGAGAACAAAAATAACCAAATCCCCCAGGAAACTCTGGGGAAGGGGGAGCATCTGATTTCCAGACATACCACAATAGATTCAAATGTCCAGTTTTCAACAACAGCAACACAAGGCAAAGAAAGAAAAGTATGGCCCATTCAAAGGAAAAAGAAATCAACCAAACAGTTCCTGGAAAAGATCTGATGGCAGATCTCCTAAACAAAGACTTTAACACAACTATCTTAAATATGCCCAAAGAAATAAGATGTGGAAAAAGTCAAGAAAACGATGTATAAACAAAATGGAAATGTCAAGAGGTAGAAAACCTGAAATGAAACCCAAAAAATTCTGGAGCTAAAAATGTATGATAACTGAAATGAAAAATTTGCCAGAGGGATTCAAAGGCAGATTTAAGTGGGCAAAAGAAAGTCAGTGAGCTGGAAGATAGGGCAATGGAAATTACCAAGTCTGAAGAACAGACAAAGATAGAGGAAAAGTGAACAGAATCTAAGGGATCAGTCAGAAACTATCAAGTGGACCAACATACACATTGTGAGAGTCACAGAATAAGAAAGGAAAAAGCATCAGAGAGAATATTTGAAGAAATAATGACTGAAATCTTCCCAAATATGATGAAACATGTGGATATAAATGTCCAAGAAGCTCAATGAACTCCAAATAAGATGAATGCAGAGAGCCACACCCACACCTGCTATAATCACACGTTGGATAGAAAGACAAAGCATCTTGAAAGCAGCAGGAGAAGTGCCTCGTCACATACAAGGGATCCTCAATAAGATCTAAAGCGGATTTCTTACCAGAAGCTTTGGAAGCCAGAAGGCAGTGAGTTAATAGATTCAAAGTGCTAAAACCAAAACCTCTGTCAACCAAGAATCCTCTATCCGGCAAAACTGTCCTTCAGATGTAAGGGAGAAAAAAGACATTCCAGATAAACGAAAGCTGAGGGAGCTGGTTGCCACTAGACCAGCCCTGCAAGAAATGCTCAAGGAGTCCTGTGGGGTAAAGGGAAAGGACACTGGACAGTAACTTTAAGCCAGGTGGAGAGACAAAGATCTCAGGATATACATGGGCTGTTATAAAAGATATTGATGTCACCTTGGTTTGTAACTCCACGATTTGTTTTCTGTATAATTTAAGACTAATGCATTTAGCTATTAGTTCATGTTTTGGGACACAAAGTGTCTAAAGATATAGTTTTGTGAAAACAGCTAAAAGGGATGGAGCTGTAAAGGTGCAGAGTTTGATACTGAGGTTAAGCTTGTGTAAATTGAAATTAGAGTGTTATAACTTTAAAATGTTAAATGTAATCCACATGGCAACCACAAAGAAAATAGCTATAAGTCTGCATGCCGTAACTAAGAGTCCACATGCTGCAACTAAGAGCCCACATGCTGCAACGAAGATCCCATGTGCTGCAACTAAGACCCGGCACAGCCAAAATAAATAAAATTAAAACAATTTTAATTTTCTTAATTAAAAGGAAATAAGGAATTTGTGTTTCACCATAAAATTCAACTACACACACAAGATGACAGTAATGCAGGAAATGAAGACAAAAAGTTATAAAGCATATAGAAAACAGCAAAATGACAAGAGTCCCTTTTATCAGTAATTACTTTAATCCATTTACATTTAAACTGTCCAGTCAAGAGTATCCATTCTGTCAAACACACATGATCCAACTATGTCTACAAGAGACTCACCTGAGATCTAAAGACACAAACAGATTGAAAGTAAAAAAGATAGGAAAGATTCTGTGCCAAGAGTAGCCAGAAGAGAGCAGAGTTCGTTATACTAATGTTAGACAAATTAGATTTTAAGTAAAAAAATTGTTACAAGACAAAATAATAAAAGGTTCAATACAGCAAGAAGATATAGTAATAGACGTATATGTACCTAATGGCAGACCAGAGTATTCGAATAAAAAATAGAAAGGGTGAAACAGTTGGCTCCACAATAGTGGGAGACTTCACTACCCCCTCCCAATAATGGACAGAACATTGTAGCGGTCAGTTCCTCTATAAATCAACTATACCTAACAGGCATGTACAGAACACTCTACTCAACAATAAGATACACATTCTTCAAGGGAACACGGGATGTTTTCTACCATAGACCATATATTAGGCCACAAATTAAGCCTCCATAGATTTAGAGAGATGCATATCATATAGGATATCTTCTCTGTCCTCAAGGCGATAAATTAGAGGTCGACAGAAGGAAACTGAAATTCAAAAACTGGAAGTTAAACATAATCTAAACAACCAATGGATCAAGAAGAAATCACAAGGGTAATTAGGAGTTACAGACAAGTGAAAACAAAAAACAACAAACCAAAATGTGTGGGATTCAGAGGAAGCAGCGCTAAGGGGGAATTTATAGCCACGAATGCTTACATTAAGAAAATAAAGGGCTTCCCTGGTGGCGCAGTGGTTGAGAGTCCGCCTGCCGACGCAGGGGACACGGGTTCGTGCCCCGGTCCGGGAAGATCCCACATGCCGCGGAGTGGCTGGGCCCGTGAGCCATGGCCGCTGAGCCTGCGTGTCCGGAGCCTGTGCTCTGCTATGGGAGAGGCCACAACAAAGAAAATAAAGGTCTCAAATCAACCACCTAACTTCACAGCTTAAGCAACTGGAAAAAAGAAAACTAAGCCCAAAGCTAGGAGAAGGAAGGAAATACAGGGCAGAGATAAATGAAACAGAGAATAGAAAAATGAGGGAAAACATAGTCAATGAAACCAAAAGTTGGTTCTTTGAAAAGATCAAACACGTTGACAAACATTCAGGTAGGTGGACCATGAGAGACTCAAATTACTGAAATGAGAGATGAGCGGGGACGCTACTCCTGACCAGCAGAAACAAAGCCTGCGAGAGCTGTAACAGCGATGCAGACAAGTCGTGTAACTTCGATGAAAGGGGCACAGGCAGCCAGTCGGACACAAAGCCGTTTGAAATGTTTTATTCCAGTTTCCAAGTGTCACCTGGTAAACCAAGGTTTGGTCGTTAACAAAAGTACTAGTCACAAACCCATAAAATAGAACACATCTGAATCCATTTGGTCCACGTAGGCTTAGCTAGTTAACTGTTGTCTCATTGAGCAGTTTACTAACGTTTCTGGACTAAATCCCAAGATGTCACCCATCAGTCGGCTTGTCTGTTTGTGGAAATTGTGGCAGGTGACCCTGGGAAGCCTGTGTCCCAAGTCCAGTCTCTACAGTGTCAGTGGATCAGGGGACTGGCACGGTCATTGGTGAAGTGTTTCCTTCCATGAGATTCTGACTCTGATGTGTAGTTTGAAGCACATGTCTTTCAGTAAGTGACAGAGAAGTGGAAACCACCTGTTGATGACAGTTAGCCAGAGTCACTAAGTTCTACCACTATCACAACCCACGTGTCAGATGGAAGAGATGAGTCTTCTCCTGAGAACAAGATCAGTTAAGCATCTAGCCAATGACTGTCGTGCAAGTGGACATTGGAAGTACTTCCAGGTCGTTTTAGTTTACCCCACAAAACATGTTTGATTGTCACCACTGACAAGTATTGTAGACCTAGAAACTGCTTTTTAAAACATCCATTCAAGACTTATTGTTTCCAAGGGAGAGGGATGGATTGCGAGTTTGGGATTAGCAGATGCAAACTATTATATATAGGATGGATAAATAACAAGGTCCTATGACAAGGTCCTACTGTACAGCACAGGGAACTATATCCAATATCCTGTGATAAACCATAATGGAAAAGAATATGAAAAAGAATGTATATGTGTACACGTGAGTCACTTTGCTGTACAGCAGAAATGAACACATTGTGAATCAACTATACCTCTCTCTCTCTCTCTCTCTCTCTCTATATATATATATATATAAAATTTTTTTTGACTTAACTGTGCTAGTATTTTTACTGGGATTAGGATGCAATGTTGAGTGTTTAGGGCTATGCATATGACATTCTGTACATTTTGAGTGGTCTGCCCCAATCTTGTTTTTCCATAAGTATGTTATTTTTACTGAGCAATTTTGCAGAAGGTAACTTTTTTTTTTTTTTTTTTCAGTACGCGGGCCTCTCACTGTTGTGGCCTCTCCCGTTGCGGAGCACAGGCTCCGGACGCGCAGGCTCAGCGGCCATGGCTCACGGGCCCAGCCGCTCCGTGGCACGTGGGATCTTCCCGGACCGGGGCACGAACCCGCGTCCCCTGCATCGGCAGGCGGACTCTCAACCACTGCGCCACCAGGGAAGCCCCAGAAGGTAACTTTCTTAAGATGCATAAATGTTGTTAGAGTAGAAGTGCCTGCACACTACACACTATACTGAAACTATACCTGGGAGCAGGATGTGACAGGTGCCACAAAACAGGGTCCTAGGGTACAGGGACATGGACAGTATTTTTTTTCCTGTACAATTACTTCTCCAGGATACGCCACTAAGCTGCTTCACGGGAGGGTAAGTGCTCCCCCTGGAGGAACTTACAGTCTGGGGGCCAGTTCCTTCTCCACTCCAGGCGGCGTTTCTAGCACACGATACTCGATACTCGCGCTGGTTGAGATTAAGCCCTGGCTACATATAAATAGAATGGTGTCTGCTTTCACTTCCGAGATTACATTTTACAGAAGAAAGCAAAGCGTCACCTGGTCCTTTGCAGCTGTGACTGGTTTTGCCTGTGGAGCCATCCCCATTCCCAACCTCTCTCCTCTCAAGTTCAGTGGATACACAATAAAATATACTTCTAAAAAATAAGTTAAGGGGCTTCCCTGGTGGTGCAGTGGTTGAGAGTCCGCCTGCTGATGCAGGGGACGCGGGTTCGTGCCCCGGTCCGGGAAGATCCCACATGCCGCGGAGCGGCTGGGCCCATGAGCCATGGCCGCTGAGCCTGCTCGTCCGGAGCCTGTGCTCCGCAATGGGAGAGGCCACAACAGGGAGAGGCCCGCGTACTGCAAAAAAAAAAAAAGAGAGAGATGGTAGACCTCAGAGTGACTGTCCCTTGAGAAGACCAACCACTCACTTGGCCAGTTTATTACATCAGACCTCCTCCAACCAGGAGAGGAAGAAATTCTTCCTCAACAGAATCAGTACCTACCCTGGATATAGATTTTTTTTTTTCTATGCCCAGAGCTCCTCTGCCAGCTCTGCTCTCCAAAGGCCTACCTGATGCCTGATGGATCTTACATACATCACTTCAGAGTGAGGGCCACATGGTACAGCAAAAGAGGTACGGCGATGGGTTAGGACTGCAGGATCTTCTGTTCCTAATAGAGGCCATATCACCCTGAAGCAGCTGGCCAGATAGAAGATTGGAATTACCTTCAGCTGCTAAGACATCAGATTGGGGACCTCATCCTACAGGGTTGAGGGTCTGTCCACCAGGGTGTAGAGTAAGAATGGAACCAATGGCCCACATATGATACTACATCCAAATAGCTAGAAGACGCCGGCGGAAGTGGGAGTGGCCACTCTTCTCATCACTCCTGGAAACCCATGTGAAGGATTTGTGCTTCCTGTCCCTGAAGCAGTAGCTTCCACTACATTATTATCCAGGGGATGAACTCTTCCTCCGGGTACAGTAAGGGTTCCACTGAACCTGAAGCTATGACTACCATCTGGTCACTCTGAGCTCTGTATTCTGATGGACCAGCAAAGAAAGGAGTTACTGTCTTGGTGGGGGTAATTGACCCTGGTTATCATGAGAAGCCACGGTGCTGCTGTACAATGAAGACAGAGAGGAGCACGTCTGGAACTCAGGGGATTCTCTGGAGCATCTCTGGGTGCTTATATCCTAAGTGAAAATGGTGAATGGCCTATTGCAGCAACCGTATTTTGACAAAAGCAAGGCAACTAAAGCCTCAGACTCCTTAAGTCTGAAAGTCTTGGTCACCCTACCAAGCAAGCAACCTAAGCCAATTTAAATGATTGTTGAAGGCGAGGAAAATCTCACGTGAGTGGTGGAGAAAGAAGATGAATAGCAATTGCCCTCTTCAGTCCAGGTGCATCAGCAGCTCTAGCTTCTCCCCCTAATTTTCGTGCATTTAGCCTTTTGTGGATATTGAAAGAAACTGAAAAACTGGACTTCAGTATGGCGTGAGAGGGTCTGAGAGGCGCAAGCGGCTGACGGTGGCTGACACCCCTGGTGTCCCACGTTACACACCATCAGCCCACTCTGTCCTCAGCCACAAGCGTAACGGGCAGTTCCACGTACGCTCAGGTTGACGGCATCCCGAGCCAAGTGGGCACCATGCAACCTTTCTACTTCCTACGGCAAGGCTGCAGTCGTTTTGTTTTAAAGACCACAAATTCTTTGATGCTCATCCCATCAAGAGGTAGAGTCTCTCTGCTTCTTGATTTCGGGCTTGGACATGTGACTTGCTTTGGCCAAGGCGATATTAGCCAGCATACCATGAACAGAGACTTGCAAAGTGCTTGCTGTGTTTGTGACTCGCCTTTTCAATAATTCTTTGACCTACGCAGTCCAGGCCAATATGGTAGGAAGAGTCAAGTAAAAGCACCACCATCAAAGACTCAAAAGATGTATGGATGGTGGTCCCTCCAAAATATTCATTTGATTCATCTGTCTGGCGTCTACATAACACATAACCTAGATGGATCATGGCAGATGGCGGTGGACTAATGTGGACTTAAACAGGTTAAACAGGTAGTAATTCTAATTATAGCTGATGTGCTGGATTTGATATGTTTTTACTGGAGCAGATCAATCAACCCTCTGGAATATGATATACGGTTATTGATTTAGTGAGTGGTTTAGTCTCAACACTTATGAAGACAGAGGAGCAGAAGCAATTCAGCGCTATGTGGTAAGGTCATCAATACACCTCAGCTCCACGTTAAATCTGCTGCCCTCTGTTCCAGCACGGGCAGGAGAGACCTTGATCATCTTGATCTTTTGCATGACGTCATGCTAGTTCACTATACTGACGACACCATATGCTAATGGGATCTGTTAAGCAGGAAGAGGCAAGTACTTTGGACATGCTAGTGGGTCTCATATATGCCAGATAATGGGAGATTAAAGACAATTCGGTGGACTGGCACATCAGTGAAATGTTTACAGGTCCAACGGTCTGAGCATGCTGAGACATCTTCTCTAAGGGAAGGGAAGATTGCTCCCTTTTGCATCTCCTACCACTAAAAAGGAGGTACAGCTATGTAAAGGGGCTCTTTGTATTTTAGAGGCAACAGATACTGCACCCACTTATTGAGTGATCCAGAGACTTCCAGCTTTGAATAGGACCCAGAGCAAAAGTGGGCTTTGCGGTGCGTGCGGGATGCTTTTTGAGCCACAAGATCCAGCACATCTAATGGAAATAAAAGTGTCAGGATTGGATTTGAATGCTATTTGGACTCTCTGGCGAGCCCTGATAAAAGAGTTGCAGCAAAGCCCTCCAGAATGTGGGGCAGGTCCACACTCTCCCCAGCACTTATGAAACAGCTCCTGGGAGCTGTCAGCCCTGGTAGACATACAGCAGAGGGTCATGGCCACAAGTGACTATGCAGAAGAGCTTCCTGTCATGAGCTGTTATCTGACCCACTGAGTCATAAGAGAGTCAGTCACAGGGCAGGCATGCCCAGGAGCCATCTGTCATGTAATGGTAGTGGCACTTTTGAATCAGGCTCAAGCCAGTGCAGAAGACAGGAGTAAATTCCAACAGATCCACCACCTCTTCTCTCTCAAGCCTCACCCACGGCCCCTGGGGAGTTCCTGATAACCAGCTGGTGGTAAAATGACGGGCTTGGGCCAGTGACCCACTCGTGGAATTTGTGCTTCTTGTCCCTAAAACTCTGTCAAGTTAGAGTTCCCAGGGATCTCTCCCAGGAGAGAACACTGAAACCTGGGACACGGCAGGTTTTGCTAATTACCACTTGGCTACTCATTATTACTGGTAAAGTTTCCACAAATTGTCATTGACTCTGCATGCCAGTGGACCAAGGACAAAACGGTACCAGATCCTATCACCCCGAGAAGCTCCTACACGATGGGGACACAGGGAAGAGATTGTCGGGAGCTTGGGGATTCCCTGGGACAGCTCATCTTAAGGCTTCCAAGAGACAGCTGCTGGCCGTCACCTTGAGAGGGGCCTGTGACTGATTGGAATGACACCATCTTGTTTTCATTGAAAAAGGGGAAAAAGTGAGCCCCCACATTATAACATGCAAGGAAACTAATAGATCCAGGGCGGCAAGGGGAAGACAGTAATGGACACAAATGTTACGCGTCCCCCGGGTCCCCTCGGTGCTGCCCACCTCCTGAACCTCCCTCTGGCTTGTTCCTCCCCAGCTGTTTCTACTCCCAACTGACTCAGCACCCAGATAGTCCTGGCACCTGGGACAGAATAGCCCTGTGCTCTGTGGACGCTGGACGCCTCTCCTTCATTGCCACTACATTATCCGACCTACTTTACACACATCTGCAATGCTGGCCTTCTCTTCACTCCTCTGGAGGAAGCCCCACATCCCAAGCTGCAGGATCTGCACCCTGACTGCCCACCGAAGGGCCAAATGAAGTAATGTAGAAGGGTGAGAAAGTGACCTCCTCGTAGCGCAAACTTTGGCCAATGGAAAACTGAAGGCATCTAGGCAGACACATTTCCTCCCCTCTTCCCTCTCACGAAGTGCTGAGGAAATTCCCCCTCCCAGTCTATCCAAAGAAGTCCCACGGGCCAAGCGAACTCACCTGCCAAGCCTCTGCTCGCCCCTTTGGGCTCGCTGTGAAATGGTACCAGCGCGGCGATGCATCACTTCACACTGGGCCGCACTCTGCTTGCCTTTCTCTTGTCTCCCCTCCTTGCTCCCTGGTTTGCATCTCCCCTGAAAAAGCATCGTGCCAACTTCATCTTTGCCTCAGGCTGTTTTCTAGAAAACCCAGGCTAAGCCGTACTTCACGTATTTACTTTCATTTTGAAATTTTTATTGGATAAAATATTTAAAGCTGTGGTCTTTTCTTTCTGTAATTGTTTCCCCACTCAGGGAGTCAGAACACTGAGTAACCCAGGCGGCCGGCAAAGGGCCTGAGAAGGGATGGGCTCGGGAGCGGTCCATTCCGAGTTGCCACCACGAGGGGGCGCAGCCAGCTCGATGGAAGAGAAGCAGCGCGTCTGCCCTGAGCTTCCAGATCAGGGCATCAGGCCGGAGTCTGCAATCCCGAGAGCCTCATGCAAAGCCGAGATGGGCTGGTGTCCTCTCCCCGACGGAACCCTGCTCTCCAAAGTTTCCTCTGCACGAGGGGGTTCCCAACACCCGCCTCCCTTTCTTTCCAGTCTTGGTTCCCGTTGATTGACGTACAGCGTCCAGGTCAGTCCCCGGGGCCACTCCCTGGCTGGGGCCCCCCTCCCGGGAGCTGCCCTGCCCCAAGGCTGGCCCACCTTTTCAGGGATGTCATTGGGATCATTGGCCTTTGGAGGACCCAGGGCTGCCATCTGCCCCTGGGCAGCATATGGAACACAGGAAAGGCTGGGCAGCACGGACCTTGTGCCCTGATCCCCAGGGCCAGGGACCTGAGGGGTGAGTCATGGGAACAGAGTGGGCGTTGGGCTGACAGATGTCATTGTGGTGATCTGGAAGGGGGACTCAGAGTAACGACTGGCCAGCGGGGAGAGTGCTGGATCGTCAGTTCCCTCCTAAGCCTCGTGGGGAAGGCACATGCAGGAAACAACCAAAGGGAGGCCCAGCCGAGCTCCCCGCCCTGGTGTCCACTCTCCACGGTGTCCCCGTGGGTGACCCAGCCTGTTCTTTGTCCCCTGCCCACTGATTCTCTCCTCTCAGTGCGAAGGGGAGGGGCTGGCTCCCACCATGCAGCCCCCTCTCTCTGGGGACACCTCTCTCAGTCCGCCTGGCTTCTCTCCTTCCAGCTCAGAGTGCCCTGTGTCCTTGGGAATCCCAACACTGCTTCCTCTTTAAGTCTATCTAGAAGTTCACTAGCCAGCTCAGCCCTTGCTAAACAATCCTGGAGCAGTCCTTGGATCTCCTTGGAAAAAATAAGAGTTCCCCTTCCTCTCCTGGCCTCCCAGATTTCACCTATTGATAACGTAGTACAGACTGGGATGCTGACTGCACTCAGGGCAAAGACTTGGCAGGCAGAGGCAGCTGGCAGAACTGCCCCCTTCCCCCCATAGGGCTGAGGCGAGCTGAGGCAGGGCCCCTCCCAGCTAAAGTGGGACTCGTGTGCCCCTACTCAGGCTGCGGAAGGACCCAAGGACTCCTGCACAGAGTGGGCCGGGGTCTCTAGCTCACAGGGAGCAGAGTGAAGGTCAGGGCAACTCGGGGGCATGGAGTGTTGACAGGGCTTATCCTGCGAGACAGTTCCTGACCTCCAAGTTCCGGACTTTGCCCACCCACCCCTGAGAAACAGCCGCCCTCTGGGTCCAAGAGCACCTCTGCTGACCAAGCTTGACCCAGCTCTCCTTTCACCCTGTGACCCCAATGACAGCTTCCTGGGCAAAGACCCCCTAGCCCACCAGGTACTTGGCAGCCCTCAGCATGGGTTCCTCCTTCAGGGGGTGGCTCTGCCCCAAACCAAGACAAGCTGCTCTTAACCGCCCACCACAGGGCCCAGACCAGGCAGTGAGGGTGACGAAATTTTACTGCCTGTCCTGGGGACCCCAAACTGGGTCCCCTCCACCACTCCTGGCTACACTTCAGGAAGCTGCAGCCCTGGGGTCTTGGACAAGCTCTAGGTGGGCCCTGGCCCTCCAGGAAGGGACGATGTTGCCCTCCTTCCCCCCAGCCTAGGCCTAAGCCTCCCAGCCCCTCAGTCCTCCACCTGGATCAACTCTTCACAGAATAACTGGCAGAAGGATTGGCCAGTCCCTTTGGGAGGAGCCCGGCCGCAACTCAGGCCCCATCACATAATATACCAGTGTGACTGGTCTCGTTTTGAAGTAAAACCCTAGGCATCCTTTGCTCTATTATATAGACTTAAAAAAAGAAAAAACAAAACAAAACGATTTTCTAGTTTCAAAAGTACTTCACTGTAGAAAATGTCCAAACTAAATAAAATATCAAATAAGAAATTTAAAATTATTCATAATTCCAACAGACTCAAGCACTACAGACATGGGTACGTGTTAAACAAACTCTTTCTACACCATGTTTGTACAAAATACCATTTTGTTTTTAAAAATCTGAACAGGGAGTTCCCTGGTGACGCAAGACTCTGCACTCCCAATGCAGGGGGCCTGGATTCGATCCCTAGTCAGGGAACTAGATCCCACATGCATGCCGCAACTAAGAGTTTGCCTGCCACAACTAAGGAGCCCGCCTGCCGCATCTAAGACCTGGCACAACCAAATAAATAAATACATAAATAATATTAAAAAATAGTAATAATTATAAAAAATCTGAACAAAGAAAAGTCACCCACCATCCCATAGATTTTAAAGGACTATGTGAAGGACAGACTGGACGGGACCCCTCCGCCCTCAGCCCGTCTGTTGCTCTCTCCCCTCCCCAGGCGTGCAAACACATCTATATTCACGCAGCGATCCTGCCATAGATACTCTACTGCAAGTTTGCGTTTTTCACTTAATGTCATGTCACGGACATTTTCTCCAATGAGTGAAAATGGACCTGGCTCATTTTGCGGCATGCGGGATCTTAGTTCCCTGACCAGGGATCAAATCCAGACCCCCAGCAGTTGAAGCTCAGAGTCCTAACCACTGGACTGCTCATTTTCTGAAATGACCACATTGTCATGTAGTGTAATTATTTCCTCTTGCCCTCTTGCTGGATATTTTGGGATTTTCCAGTTTCTCCTACAGCAAGAATCCTTGTATACATAACAACACATGTCCATTTATTTCGGATACATACATTCCCTAGAAGTAAGATTGTTACCTCAGAGATCTTGTGTAAGGTGAGATAAGACTCTTTATCTCTTTTTTAAGATAAGAAATCTAGCAGAGGACTTCCCTGGTGACACAGTGGTTAAGAATCCACCTGCCATTGCAGGGGACATGGGTTCGACCCTGGTCCGGGAAGATCCCACATGCCACGGAGCAACTAAGCCCGTGCACCCCAACTACTGAGCCTGCGCCCTAGAGCCCACGAACCACAACTGCTGATCCCACGTGCCACAACTACTGAAGCCTGCACGCTTAGGGCCTGTGCTCTGCAACAAGAGAAGCCACCGCAATGAGAAACCCGTGCACCGCAACGAAGAGTAGCCCTCGCTCGCCACAATTAGAGAAAAGCCCGAGCACAGCAACGAAGACCCAACGCAGCCAAAAATAAATAAATAAATAAATGTATAAAATAAAAAAGAGAAATCTAGCAGAGAGGCAAACTGTCTACTGTTTGTCCGAGAAATCTCTTAGGTACTTACACTGTTTAGGAATCCAGAAATGTGATTACACATGGTTACCAAGTAAGACCAGTAAGCAGAGTTCAGGTTTCTACCGGAAGTTGTTCTCATGAGTCATGGCAACAAATTCTAAAGTCTTAGAAAAGCGTTTTAAGACCCTTCTGTTTAAATAACAGATGCATTGTAACAGAAGTGAGAAGTCGGTAACAGTATAAATGTTCAGACAAGTCCCAGTTTTGTACCAGAAGACAAGATTTGTACAGAGTAAGTGGTCTGAGTTCAACACCTTATCAAATCAAATTCTTCCATCAAGTTTTATAATTCAGAATGATATCTTTCCCTCCATGATTTCAGGGGAAAGGAGACATCTTTAACTATCGACTCCATTTTGTTAACTAGGTAGTCTTTCGTTTTTAAGGCCAGGTTCTGGAAGTTCATTAGCTGGCCTTAGAAGCAAAGAACAGATGTGTGGAGCTCCATTTTACTGAGCAAAAAAGAGAAATAAATGAATAGGATCTTAATTAATAACAGCTGAATAAGGAGCACATATAATTTCTCTTCAGCAAAGAATAGAAACGCTTTTTAATGGATACTGCAATAATTAATTCCAAAAAGACTTAGGCCAATTCATTCTTCTACCAACAGGGAGCCAGTTTCCTCACAATTTTGCCAGAACTGGAGGCAATTATCTTGTTTATTTTCGGACAATCTGATAGGACACACACACACACACACACACACACACACACACACAATTAGCATGTTTTCATGCTTTAAAAAAAGGGCTGGGGACTTCCCTGGTGGTCCAGTGGTTAAGACTGTACTTCCAGTGCTACCACTGCAGGGGATGCGGTCAGGGGACTAAGGTCCCATGTGCCACGTGGCACGGCCAAAAATTAAAAAAAATTTTTTTAAGGGCTTTATTGAAATGTAATTGACATGTAATAAACTGCACATATTTAAAGTATCCAGTTTAGTAAATTTTCATATGTGTATATACTCATGGAACTATCACAGCGATCACGATTAAAACATCCATCATCACCAAAAGTTTCTCACGCCCTTTGTAAGCCCTCTCCTCGCCCTCGCTGCTCACCACCCCCCAGGCAGGGACAGACCCGCTTTCCTAGTTAGATCAGCTCGCATTTTCCAGTGGCGAGGCTAATGGCCACTAGCCCTCCTGCTCGCTGCTTTTGCAGTGTAATTGTCACACCCCCTGTGGAGGGCCATTTGACGATATCGGTCAAGGTGACAAATGCACAAACTGAACCAGCCATCCCGCTTCTAGGAATGAATCTTATCAACATCCATGCAAAGTGACGCAAGGACCAGCTAGACACTTCGATTGTAGTAGCAAAATGTTGGAAACTCCCTAAATGTCCATCCGCAGACACCGGGGAAATAATTGCAGTGCACCCAGACAATGGAGTACTATGCGGCCATAAAGAAGAATGAGGAAGTTCTCTTGCTTCTGATACAGTAATTACCCCCAGATATGATGTTAAGGGGAAGTGTGTGTGCAGAGCAGTGGGTGGTGTGCGTGCCTCTTCACTCTTTGGGGACCATCAGGAGAGCCATGACCCTGACCTTTGCCCCTCTTGCCCTTCCCCACTCCTCACTGCAGGAGAGGGAGGAAGTATTTCCCCGGCTGGCTGGCAGTTGGGTGGTGTTATTAAGGCTTTCTCTGTCTTTTATTTGTTACATTTGTCCCACTTGGTCTCCTTCTGTCTCCAAGGGGGAGATCTGCCCGGGGAAGCACAGCTGCTCACATCCAAGGGGGTCTGTGTGTCCAGCAGTGGTGCTCAGTGTTGGACAGCCCGGAGCCTGAAGTGAAAGCCACATTCTCCATGTAAGCTTTTTCAGTAATGCCCAGGATACTTTGATCTTCACCTGCCTGCCAAACTCAGATTGTGCACAGGTAGGTCATTTACTGGATCCCTAACAATGAGATTGTATGCCAACAGTTTATACACATGCCATACATGCATTCTACAAGGTATCTGTGTATTTTGTGTGTGTGGTAAAATACACATAACATAAAACTTACCATCCTAACTAGTTTAAAGTTACAGTGGTATTAAATACATAGGTTCACATCATCGTGCAGACATCATCACCATCCATCCCCGTAATGCTTTTCATCCTGTAAAACTGAAACTTCATAACTATCAAATAATAACTCCCCATTCTCTCCCCCCGCCAGCCCCCTGCAACCACCATTACACTTTCTGTCTTTATGATTTTGAACACACTAAGTACTTCATCTACGTGGAATCATACAATATTTGTCTTTTTGTGACTGGCTTGTTTTATTTAGCACGATGTCCTCAAGTTTCATCCATGTTGTAGTACATGTCAGAATTTCCTTCCTTTTAAAGACTGAATAATTAATCCCATCTTAGTTCAATGGAACTCCATTTAATTCTATTTTAATTGCATTGTATGGATATACCACATTGTGCTTATCCATTCGTCCATCCATGGACACTTGGGTTGCTTCCATGTTCTAGCTATCGTGCATAATGCTGCTATGAACATGGGTGTACAAATATCTCTTTGAGTTCCTCCTTTCACTTTTGAGTATATACCCAGAAGTAGAATAAAGAATCATAGGGTATTCTTTTTAAAATTTTTTGAGGACCGCCATGTGTTTTCTCCAGCAGCTGTGCTATTAGGTTGGTCAAAAAGTTCATTCTGGTTTTTCCATAAGATGGTACAGAAAACCCAAATGATCTTTTTGGCCAATCCAATGTTTTTCACATTCCCACCAACAGTGCACAAGGGTTCCAATTTCTCTACATCCTCACCATCACTTGCTGTTTTCTGGTTTTTTGATAGTAGCCACCCTAATGGGTATGAGGTTGGTATCTCATTGTAGTTCTGATTTGCCTTATCACTAATGATTAGTGATATTGAGCATCTTTTCATGTGCTTGTTTATATATCTTCTTTGGAGAAATGTCTGTTCAAGCCTTGCCCATTTTTGAACTAGATAGTGTGGGGTTTTTTTAAAATTACTGTTATTTTTGAGGTTTAGAAGTTCCTTACATATTCTGGATATTAATCTCTTATCAGATATATGGTTTGCAAATATTTTCTCCCATTCTGTGGGTGGCATTTTTACTCTGTGGATAGTGTCTTTTGATGAACAAACTTTGAAATTCTAGTGAAGTCTAACTTGTCTATTTTTAATTTTATTACCTATGCCTTTGGTGATATGCCAAGAAATCATTGCCAAATCCAATACTGTGAAGGTTTTGACCTGTGTTTTCTTCGAAGAGTTTTATAGTCTTTGGTCTATCATTTGGGTTCTTGATCCGTTTTTAGTTAATTTTTGTAAATGGTGTTAGGAAAGGGTACAATTTCATTCTTTTGCATGTGGGTATCCAGTTTTCTGAGCACCATTTGTTGAAAAGACTGTCCTTTCCTTATTGAATGGCCTTGGCACCCTTGTCAAAAATCATTTGACCAGGGGCTTCCCAGGTGGCGCAGTAGTTGAGAGTCCGCCTGCCGATGCAGGGGACACGGGTTCGTGCCCCGGTCCGGGAAGATCCCACATGCCGCGGAGCGGCTGGGCCCATGAGCCATGGCCGCTGAGCCTGCGTGTCCGGAGCCTGTGCTCCGCAATGGGAGAGGCCACAACAGTGAGAGGCCCGCGTACCTCAAAAAAAAAAAAAAAAAATCATTTGACCATGTATGGGAGGGCTTATGTCTGGGCTCTCCATTTTACTCCATTGACCTATGTCAGTCTTTAGGCCAAAGCCACAACTGTTTATATTACTATAGCTTTGTAGGAAGCTTTGAAATCAGGACA